TGAATAATTTGAGCTGCTCAAAACTGTCGAATGCCAATAGCGATATGAACCGACGCATATGTGACAGCAATCATTGTTTAGTATAAAAAAGCTAGTCACATCGTATGATACCAGGAGACTAAAAAGTGTGCATGTGGTTTACAGTGTACTTTGTTGGTGTAACTTCAAACTTACGTGCAATCGTTTACTCTTTTATACATCTCTCCGCCGATGCAACAAACTTTGTTATGCTCTTTATTCGCTTACCTTGGGCTTGATTCCACCTTCATTATAACACGAAAGTTATGCCAGACGGATTGAAGTGATTCTTGCTTGTCAGCATCCTTAAATAAGAGCTACACGGTTCCTGTCCACAAAAGCTAGTTTGGTGTTAGATTTAGTACATAATGATCCTGAAAGATGTGGCGATAAGACATCACTGGCAAGTATTTTAACACCTGACCTTGATGAGAATTTTATGCTAAAATAATTAAATACAAACAAGCTAAGGAAATTGTTATAAACCCTAGCATGAACGATGAGATAAAATCCTGTCTGTACCCCTGTCGTCTAAGAGTGGGATATCTTGCTGAAAGATTAGAAAATGAGTTCTCATGTTGTTCATCAAGACTATCACTTTTTCTGTACCCTGTTACTTTACTCTGCAAAAATGTGACGTTGGAAAGCAACTGTTTGAGCAGGCTGATTATTTGCTCTAGGGTAGGTATTGAATTTTGCAATTCTTAGACAATTCACTCACTGCTCCACTCCACACTGCCAATGTACCAATTCATCCCTACAAGTCTGCTTTGTGCGCTTGTGTGCATAGAAAATTGCCAAAAAAGATTTGATTAAAATTTCTTTACCAAAGAACAAACAAAAGCTACCCCCATGATCTGCCTACTCAGTAGGGGAAACCCGGAGCAAATGCATAAAGACGTTGATCTAAGAGGCAGCAATTTATGAAGAAGCTTCTCTTCTTTATGAGACCTTACAGAACCCGTAGAGGCGCAGATGATTCATGAGAAGATCGACACATTAGGGTGGAAGTGAGCAAATGGGAGGAAGAGGGAGAGAGATGTTGGCTCATTATCTTGATGATATGCCTTTAGGTGACGACTATCGCCTATTCTTGTCACCAGCGTTGGGCACGCACTTGCGGCAAGAAACTGGCAGTTGGCAAATGGGAACAAATTGGGTGGAGGCAGAGATAGCTGCAGGTAGCCGCTTTTACTTCCAGATGCAAAGCCTTTTTCAAGATGATCTTCTCAAGCTTGCATGTAGTCGGTAAAGGCCTGTGATTTGTGCTGTTTATTTATAATTCTTTTAACCCATTGAAACTTACATCAAATCTTGTGCAAAAATCGAGATTTTTTTTGAGAAGAATTATGAGAAACAAGTAATTTAAAGGATCTACATGCCTTCATGTCTACTTTTAAAAAACCAGATACGTAATTTTTTGTTTCGATGTTTTCAGTTTTCGCGATAATCCCAAATACTAGGTTTCAGGTTGGTCTGCGCAGGTAGACGAACCATTTTTGCACACAAACATCCCTATGGTTTTCTTATGTGCTAAATTAAAATTCATGCTTTGTTCCTGGACCTCACCTGACTCAATCGTCTTCATTGAAGCCTTTTCCTTTACGCCAAATATTTTATTAATTTAAGCTCCTACTGTAAAGCATTGACAGGCCTCGAGCAGTAAAGACAGTGAATGTCTAAAGTGCTATTACCCAAGAAGACTCAACTCTGGCTCTGTTGATGTCGACAAGATGTCTGACTGAGGTTAGAAGCAATGTGCGGTGATTCCTGACTCATGAGTGCCTCGTGTGGCTCTGAATGTGTTGAGAGATCTGACAAGGTATGGTGATTACCGTAGTCGCCGAGACAGAAGCAGAAAAGAAGAGAGGGTGGCCAAAGGACTGATGATTGTTTTAATTTAACACACGGGTCTCTCTGGTCTCAGTAATTCTGCTTTGGTTAAACACTGAAAAGAATATTAAAAATGATGGTTTGTTCCAACGGTTCTTATAATCATTTACACTGAGGTTTTGCTCCGTCGTCACAAGGAAGCGACAATGAATAAGTTCTCTTACTAATGCAAATAAAAATGAAATTGCAGCGAATTTAAAAGCTATGGCATTGCACGAGATTAAATTAAAATGCTGTAGTGATTTGATTTGTCTTCTACCCCAGATAACAAAGCACTTTGCTCTCAAGCATGTTAAGTGTGGATGCCACAATCGTGGCAGATCGCTTTCAATGCGTCGTTGTCTTTTGCATTTTCCCCCTTATGTAAATGGCTACTCGGCTTAACCGGAATATTCTGGCTCATTTGCTCTAATTCAACCCAAAAATAAGCTCTCTATTTTGATTGTACAGGCCGAAAAGCAAGCATGCTATAAATTCTGTGCTTGATTCAGCAAATCTTATAGGGAATATTGAGGGTATCATTGCGTTGCATGGCATTTCTTAGCCTTTATGAAGATATTCCTAACGCAGGGATTGGCACTTCAAACAGCGGATGTAGGGTAGTTAAGGTCAAAATGTCCAAAGATTATAGTGTGTACCCACAAGAACAGTTGTGGGTACAATATCATTTACCTAGAGTGGACAAAAGGGTTACAGATGCTGCTTATGATGATCCCATGAATGCTGGTTGATACTAATAGCCAATAAGTAAGCAACCTTCCTGATGCTAGTACATCTAATTTATTTTATAACTATTCTAATTGTCGTTTCAATTTCAAACTGCATGACTTAACTTCCTAGTTACACTATTGAGTTGGGTGGATTTATGTCATAAAGTAGTGCGTTAAACTACTTTTCCCTTCGACATCACCTCAAAATATATATACGGAATAATGCAGAGCATAATCCAGGTTAATAAAACTAGATTTATCATGAACATCAAGGTTATTTAAAAATAAGCGTATGCGCAAGGACTGGAATGAGGTATCATTGTAATATTTCGGTTCTTTGCTTAACTCTCGATTTTGAAAAAGGAACACTTTTTGTAATGGGCATTGTACCCTCCACGGGTAGGCTGGCCTCTGAGCCATTTCAGTGGTCCCTTGCCCTGCTATATGTCAAATATATGCATATATTCTATCGTCTTCAGGAAAATCTCGGAGCGCTACATTGGTGGCAGTGGACAGCGGACCCAATTCCGAAAGACACATATCCTGATTTTTACTGTTGTGTGATAAATCTTAGCGAGGCGAAAGCAGTACATACGCTACGGATCGGGAATATAGAGACGACCTAAATCCGAAAAGCTGAGAATGACGTCAACCTGTGCAGCCTCATATTCCACAGGAAAGCTATTAACAACGGAAGCAATATTTGCGGTGAGATTTTTGGGAAAATTTCGTTGCGAAATCTTTCCACCACACCTGCAAAAAATATGTTGATGAGGTGAATAAGCAACATCTCTTTCACTTCTCTACTAGCTGGATAGAACCCAGCTAGATGTGGCCGGCCAGCGTTGAAGTTAAAACAAAGTGACAAGGAGGAACGGGCGCAAAACCCATATCCTACAAACTATGTTAAATCTCGTCCTTCATTACCTTAATCTTCTTTTGAACCAGTGCTCCCACGTCTAGCTATGGACATGAGTGATAACCAGGACAATTTTCGTGCTCGAATCCACTTTCCATGCATTTCGAAACTGCAGATTTAGTTGAATTACCACGAGGGATCAGTGACGTTGAGGTCAACTATCTCCTCATTTGTATGGATATTTGATGATTGACAGGACTGGCTCTTGGATATTTTCTCACAGCACTGATTGAGTTGTGGTGGCTGGCGAGGGAGGTTGACCAAGGGTAGCGTCGAAACAATAATAAAATCGGCTCTAATAAAGGACCATTTCGTGTCTCGGCCCTTGTACTTTCGGCCAGTGGACTGGCTTCTAAACCATCCTAGTAGTCCCAGCTCCTTCTGTACATTAAATACACACATTCTGCCCGAGAATCATGTCTACTTTGGCCCTTAAGAAAGTCTGTGAGGCTAATTTGTACTATCCTACGTTGTGGTGTCAAATGAACCATTGATTACTACTTCAAACGCTTCTCAAACAAAGGCGCAAAAGCTTTTTTGACAAATTAAACTGAACTGTTGAGTTGGTATCTCAATATTGGTAGAGCCTAGATAGTACTACTTGGAAGCATACCAAACCCGAAATTAGTGGCTGCATACAGTAAAATAGGTCGTGGTACAACATTTGGCGGGGTTTTTAATTACATAATGCAATGCAATTTATCTAAATTTAAAAAAACATAATTGGATAAGATGGAATGTTAGATTTATTAATAACTAAGATAATGAGGCAATGGGGACAAACTTTACGAAAAATAAAATATTTTCGCAAAAGTCTTACAGCAATGACAATACATTGAAAAGGAGCCAAACGGGATAGAGCAAATAAGAATTAATCACTTTACCTCCTAATGGATGCAGAGGCGAAATAAAACAAATTTATAAAAACAGGATAACCGAAACCAATTTCTTTCGTATGGCATGTTAAGAGAAAGTAACGTACTAGTGGATTTGTAATTAAAATCTGTTACTAGGTCCAAACAGTAATGAAAGCGAATGCACGTCTTTTAATCATAGGCGGTTTGTGGACACCGGCGTATTTATGGTCTTAGCATTTCAATCGTAGGTATCAGGTTTTTTTAACCTTTTTTAAGCTAAATCGCCTGATTTTCAAAAATATCTTATGAGACTAAGTTTAAGGCTTGTATAAGGACATCGTTATCGTTGTTTAAATTTCCCCATTTTGTTTACTTTAGTACCCGTTATTTCAAATAATCTCTTTATGATATATTTATTGAATTTTCATGTATAATGAACCGTTTATGCACAGATTGTCTGCCAGATTTCTATTACATCTTATAGTAGCAGTTAAACTTGTTTTCAACAGCAATTTTAAAGTGATCGTATGTTTTAGATTAACACAGAAAATACAAATAAGATTTAATCCAGCTGGCTAAACCCATTTGTCTCAACCTGTGCCAATGTCGCCTGTGCAGCATGTTACAAAGCATTGCGTAGATAACCTGGTTATTCTTCTACTCCTTGGTCCCACCTGCTGCTATTTGCAGAATGATCTGAGTCGTATATATGTGTATAAGTATCTCATGGATGAAATGCCACAGAATTACATTTGTGAGGGTGTTCGTAAATTAGCGGAAGTAGAACATGAAATTGTGCATTGTGTGGTCAGTGGTATTCGTCAAACCATTTCCGTTGTAGGTAGGTGATTTTCCCTTTCAACCAACGCAATTTCTGCTATCTTTGGGGATGCTACTTAAATACAATTAGTAAATCTAATCCCATTTCTCCAGTAAAGTGTCAAGTGCTATCCTGACTCGCAATAAAATGTGGGGGCTGACTGCAAATAGCGTATTTGCTTATTTGCTCTAAAGTACTCAGTAAAAGTGACAGCTACAGGTTGGTGATGTTATTTTCCGAGTTTGACACAAATTGTCGGTGGCGGTTCCTAAGAAGTGAGACGAATATAGATGTCTCCAAAAGCAGATAAGATACGCTTTCAGGGCTCTTTCAGGTTACTTATTACTAAGCATCTGCAACTGCGGGATTGTAGCAGTAGCTTTAAACCTTTGTAGAAAAACTGGTAAATCGGCACAATTCATTCTCTTCAAAGGAGTTTAGAGGCTGCTTCTTACTTCAAAGTCCTAAAATATGAAAAACCGTAAGGAGAGCATAGTTTTAAGACTGCTGTGGCTAGCGATTAAGGAGAGAAGAATGCCATGGCCTCAGGAGTCTAAGTTAGATTCAAAGTAACTATGTCAGTGGAGGAAGAAATATAGGTTTGTAGAAAGTCATCTTAAGCTTAGAGAAACAATTCATCTGGTAAAGTTTGCTTTTTCTCTGTTCTTATTATAGCAATAATTGCAGCCTAGCGATGTTATTCATAGAAATGGCACTTTTTAGATCCCAAAGATATAGATATAGTGTGGAGTCCAAGGGCAGAGGCCTTCTCTTCACAGAGGGAAGGTAGCATACGATTCTTCCTTGAGCTAAAGGGGAAGGCGCATCCTTATACATGGCTAAAAATCCGCCCTGCTGAAAAATTTGGAGAGAAAAGTCCTCAAATTCAGAAGAAAAACATCACATGGAAGGCAGGCATCGGGGGCTGCTTCCGGTACTACATAGTCTCACCCTTCAAGGCGATCGCCTTCACGCTTAAAAGTAAGTCATTTTAATGGGTTATTAATTGGTTAAATAGATTTAGAATCGTATCAGGAAATGCCGCGTTTTTAAGAGATAGAATTAGTTGAAACCTAGATTTAGGAGTTAAATAAGAGGCTAAAACCGAATTTTTATTCCACAGAGTACCTCACTGCTATATGTAGCCATTTGCTGTGGCTGAACAGCGTAGTTCAAGGGTTTCTACAGCAATTGAGATGACACCAGAAAAATATAGAAAAATTATGTTTTCATTAATCAGCCACTTAAAGCCCTCAAAACCGTTGTTACTGGCTGCTGGAAAAGCCATTATGATTTATTGCAAAAGACTTGTTCCAAAACGTTCGTTGTTTTGAGATTTAGCAATGATGGATCAGTAAAACTAAAATAATTTACTAATGACCTCATAATATCCCCCAAACCCGTCAAATGATTTCAGTACGTTGATGTTAGAATGACCTTTTGGAGCTTTTCTCTAATAAAAAGTAAATGAAAGTGTGTATGCACAAAATTAAGACAATTTGCAATAAATTTTAATTGTGAGTGGTGTGGAAATTTTGCAACCAAGTGCTTTCATGCCAATTCGATTTTAAACTAAAAAAATAGAAGGTTTTAAATCGGGACACTTAAAGCTACATAGTTAGTCTTCATTTTCTTCTAATGCACAAGGCATTTGCATGCTTCTATAGACGTGTTCATCTGCTCGCCAAAATGCAAGTAAAATTGCGTTATTTCCTTCTTAGTAACAAAGGACTTCAACTGGTATCCAGACAACGAATATGCTGTGGATACCGGATCGGCTGAAATCGTTCGCTACATTCAGACGCAGACAGGGACGAAACTCAAATTACAACGGTGTCAAATGTGCAGTGGTCGAAATGGTGTAACCATTCTTCAAAACTACTATGTCAGATTTACTGCCAGGTCATCGCTAGCGAAGGATAGGATAGAATGCTACGTAGAATACGAGGGAAATTCCACCTACTTCAGTACTCCAGTTTCCATCATAAGTTAATATGATTTTCATTCGTTCATGTCATTTTGTGTGGTCTTGCGTGCTCTTCACCAAGTTTTGATTAAAAGTTTGATTCCAAGCTTCCAGATTATTCAAGTTTGAGTGTTCTCCAGCCGAAAATATATAGAAAAATAACTATTATATTCCAAATCTTCTATTTTTATGAAATTATCTGCACAGAAACTAAGAATGCAATCCTCTTTGGACCATAAACATTATGAATCTATTTTAGCTTCGTCACCTTGTTTTGTTAAATACGGTTTTGTACAATCATTTATAATCAACTGATAAGGAACTTATATCGCACACACGTGATGCTGGTAGCACCGTTAATAATTGTGTAAGCACTTTATTTTATAGGGACAAACAAACTGTTTTACTACCCACTTTTTGACTCGGTATACATGAAAAATGCTTCAAAGTTTCCACCAAAACTCGACACCTTGACCGATCCAAGGGCCTGCAAAGTGGAGTCAAAGACATTGGTTTCGTCCACAAATTCGCTCTTGAACGGTGTACCCGGCCGTTACAACGTTACATGTGGAGATGACGAGTTTTCCCAAAGTGTACTTATACTTAGTACGTTTGTTTCAATTTTTGCACTCAATCGACAGCAATCTTTGCCGTCATGGAGTGTAATCAATCAAAATGAATCTGAATTGAAAAAGGTAGCATGATTAAAACCTGTGTTAAACTGCATCTCTAAGTGACAAATCGGACTATTTTATGGGCATATTTTCTGGGCAATTTAAATTTGCTTTAATAGGCTCAAGAATATTTGAAATATTCTATCAAAAAAAGACCATTCCTCTCGTCGTGAAGCTCGATGATTCGACATTGCAAATGTCGGATATGGATAGATATGGCTGTTTCTGGGTAACTCTATCCGAGATGGGAGAGGTGGTTCTCAATAAAAGGATTGATTCTTCCATTAGAATCGTCACCATACAGTGTGCTGCGTTTGTTGGTCCAATTGCAGTCAGAGCAACTCTCTACCACCTCCTAACCTGTGAGTCTTTTAGCCCTGCATAAACGCTGCCTACAAAGAAGTTATGGAAATAGCAATAACTTTTTTTAGTGCCCACCGCGATCAAAATACAATTGCTGTATAATCGTGGGTATTACCTTCTCGGGGAGCACATGGATGACATCGAGGTGCGGGCATCTGTCGGTCTAATTGAAATCCCTTCTCATGATATCCACTGCAGGGGGAAAATTACTTTTAAAAGTCCCTTTCTCAAAATAAGCAGTTACACAAAGGAGGGAACAGCTGAAGTTTCGTGCTTTGCCAAATACAAGGAACAAAAGGGCAAAGAAAAACACTTCAGGCTTCATTTCCTTGGTAGGATGATTAATTTGATGTTTTGAATTATGATATTCCAGTCACATAGTAGTGGCTGAAACTAATGGCTTAACTTGCAAATTACACAAAAATAAGGAGAAATTATTAACAATTTTTGAAAAAGGAAATAAAGATTTAAATGAGGCTAGTGGCATAGTGGTAGAGATTAAAGTAGTTAAGAGATAAGAATGTTTTATGACGTTCTTGTAAAATGTCTCTCGAATACTTTTCTTAAAGCCCAAGCAAATTTTCGTCTCTTCACTGCCAAGTTGAACTATATGTACATTGTAAGAGCATCCTACTCCCAAAAACCTAACGAAACGTGGATAAATGCCGATCCAGCTCAACTAGCTCCACAAATTTGCAACGTCCATTGCATTAGCATCCACGAGGATGGACCAAGTTTCAATGATACCATCAGGATCGATGAAATTAAGAGAGAATTCGAGGTATTCGACTGCTACTGCACCCGTACCTACAAAATGATGCTAATTAGGCGCAAGGCCGAATTCTACTTTCTTCTAAAACGAGGTCTCATGCTGCGAGGCTGGCAGACTTCATATGAAGAGGCTTGCATAGTAGATACCCAAAGCGAGATCGGTCTTGTGCCTGATGACTTTTACAGTAAAGTGGTTCCAGTGCTGAAGTATCGTCAGATGAAGGGCGAATGTCCCAGCTTGAAATGTGAATATGTTACCGAAGATCTGAATAAGTACTCATTGCTCTACTGGAATTGGCATACGAAGGCGGTAGAATTCTACAGTGCGGTACCTTATAAACGCAAATTATCATACCTTGATTGCTACGACCTTCAAGTAGAAGTGCTAAATTTCAGTAAGAATAAGCATTTCTTTTGACATTCATTACACTCAAAATACTTTGATTTCCTTCATGCATTAAGTGCTATAGAGTGGCTTTGGCAGCTGTTAAAATTTTTCTTGAAGTTCTAAGCAGATCGCAGAAAGAGACACGTTTATGTATTAGGCGCATTAATGCAAAGCACCTTCGGGACGGACAGATTCATCAGTACAACAGAAGGATTCTAGCACAGACTGCTTCGCCTTATCATTACTAGAGAAACACACACCTCTGCTAACTTTCATTTCTCCCATGCTTTTATTCACATCTCACCAAAGTGGCCTTACCGGGTTCGCTACACCTATCAATACTAATCCCACAATCCTCCTTCTTATTGTCACTGCGCTTCTTCAGCTAGAGGCCAATCAACTGCTTCAACTCCCAATGCTGCCCATTGGAAAAATTCAAAAAAATATCTAGTGCGAACCAGTCTTATTAAATCACTGAAAACCGTGTTCACGAAGAAGGGTTTTGTGTCTTGTTGCGCTGTCCTGTGATGTGTTATGGTGTGGTGTTGATAATTCCTGCAGAAGGATTCGTTCCTCGGGATACTATGCCACAAGACAGGTCATAAAACATGTCAGGCGTCGAGGACGTGACAGGCAATTCACGACTTACGGTCTACTAGGTAGCTAAAGCGTTCAGAGGATTGCTAGCTCTGACAATAATACAGACACTGCTGCAGCTGGTGTTGATAATGCTGATTAGCGCAGTGGCGGTGGTGGTGGTCTGAGATAAATCACGGCCACAGTCCTTGCCGCTATTTAGATGCAGTGAGAAGCTGCTTTCATTAATACACTCCGTTCTACTTTCTACGAGCACTATTATTGCACGTGTACACGGCCATTTTTCCTATTTCTTGTCCATATTAATGGTGTCTGAACCAAAACACACGTTACTCGCAATAGTTTAGATTATCGTCACGACAGCATTTCTTTCTAATCCTACCTGTAATATTAGTCCCGCCTTGCTTAAATGTCTTCTTAAATCCATGTTTTTCTTTGCCAAATGTCGAAAGAATTTCAGCATATTTCATTCATTTCATAAACTGACCCATAGTTTGATGTCCGGATACTACTTACTTAACTAAAGCATTTGATTTTCCTTAGAGATTTTGCACATTCTTAGGCTTAATTTCTATTTACAGACATCTTAACCTATCCTGAAATGATTGAACCTTCTCACAATGTCATTATTCCGGAAATTCAGCAGGATCTGTGGGTTTATATGAAAGATCGCAAAGGCCTGCAAATGCCTGTCTACCGTTGTTTCTTCATGGAGATGATAAACCTGGGCACAGAGCCTGGACACGTAACCCTTCGGAGTTACTTTACGGAGTCCTTTCAAACCAGGCTATATTGTGAAAGGGTTATGAATGGCGATCCCGTAGATATACCTTTTAACTTTATCATTTACCGTAAGTAGAGGGTTGGTCCAAAACATTTAGTCTCTTATCCCATCAAAAGCATATTTTTATAAACTTCATACTGTTTTAGCTTTAAACAAATTAAAAGTTACGATCAAACCGGAGATAGAGAGAATTTTTGTGGGTAAACGCTACAAATTCACCTGCACCAGCAGTCGACCAGAGTTGTTACAAGCGTATGGCTCGATTTCGATGAAAATTTATGAAGACGAAATGGTCATAGCCGAAACGAATAGCATGTCAATAAATTTGAAACCGAGCGGAGGGAATAAACTCCCTCACATCTACTCAATTCGATGCCTCTTACGCACTGCATCGCACTACGGCGAGCTGAGCAGAAGAGATGTTACCGCGTATGGTAAGGCGTGATTTACCAGGCACAGATCACTAAAAGAATTGTCTCGTAATGTAAAGGATAGGATAAAACAAGAGTAAAAACTGTCGTATGAAGAATTAACACAATATATGTTAGCCAAATCTCCTTTAAGATCATTGAAACAGTTTCAGTATGATCAGGTAGATCGTGTTTCTTTTGATTTAAAGTGCAATCAGCAGTTATGGAGGTGAAGTATCCAACCAAAGTCAATTGCTCTCTGTTTTGTTGCTTTTTCGTTAAATTCCATCAATGTGAAAGAGAACTGTGAATTCCGAATTTGCGAAGGAGATATATTGAAGAAGAAATCCATCAAGTACCTAGAAAACTTCACTGTCTTTCGGTATTATCTTGCTGCAATATCTTGTGATTTGTGGAGGATCATCAAATTTCGGCAACTGTTTATAGGCAATATCAAGTGTGGATATGTATCAGTCTACCATCTTTGTCCCCCTCTGTGCTCTAGACGATCTTGCTTGCATGTTGCACCATTATATTATATAATGCTGATAGAACTCAAAGGGTGCTATTTTAAGCCCTCCTGCTTTGCGAGCTTAGTATACTTCAGCATTCCAAGAGGGTGGAGTATGCGGTAGCAGAAAGTACTTCCCCAAAAATGGTGCATCACTCCAAGAATAACGTGCTGTAAACATGAATACCCTAAGTGTCTGATAGTAACAAAGGTTTGCGAGCAGCTGTTCATTAAAATAAGTGACAGTTAACATGTAACCAATACTTTCTAGCAAAGTGGTATATGACGAAACCGTTCGTTTGTACGCTCATCAACCGGGAGTAAAGTCATACTGGAGGCGTTCACACAACTGGCTCCCGCCTCCCTGCAGTTGTGCACAAAGCCTATCAGTGTGTTTTTCACTTCTTCCTTTCATCTCATTTCAAAAGCCAAGCTTCTTTGTTTCTTTGCACGCTAATCGACAAACTGGCTTACTGAATGACTAGCGCAAGTCACTTTATCCCCAATTGTTCATGTTTCCTAGGTGTATGTGGTACACTGAAGACGTAATCGACCACTTATTGAAGACCAAAAATTACACAGGGGATTCACAAGCCAAACATAATTTTACTTGCATTAGCATTAGATAGTCGATAGTAGAATTAGATTGACGAGTGAACTAAAAATGAGTTGCGGAAGAAGGTGCCACACACTGGGCATTTGTTCCTATCGATGGCGTCTCCTAAAAAATTTGGGATAAATTATAATTTGTACTGATGTTGTTTTAATAAGCCAGGTTTTTCGCAACGTTTTATGGAAAACATACTTAAGGAACGCATTTGGTCATCCTACACCCTTAGGCGTTAGGAGCTTAATTGCATCTTAGTGGAATTAAAGGTGGTCTATTTAAACTTCGATTAAAGGACTGCGGCTGCTGGTTCCAAAATTGAAGTCAATACACAGAAAAGCCTACTTCCATAACGGCGACGACGAGGTTAATTCTCGTTACATATTCACTAATGAGAAATTGGAGCTGATGAAGGAACTTACAGCTTCGGAGAATTCTACTAGCACTGGTGTCAAAATAAACGTATTTTATCAATCAAAACAATTATTTTCGCACAGGGAAATAATCCCAACAATAGGTAAGTACAGCTACAGATTAGGACTTTAACTGCACATTGACTTAGATGGTAAAATAAAATTTAAGACGAGTATAAACGATTTGCCTCATAGGCAGTTTCGCAAAATTTATTTAAACTAATGCTACCTACTATTTATTGTATGAGCAGATAAAACACGTTATCGGATGACACAAATTCACAATGTGTAGACAAATAAAATTAACTTTGCATAATGGGCATTTGCTCAGGGTGCGTTTGGCAGAAATGGGTATGATTTAATAAGGAAGCTAAAGGAGCGAATACGGGGAATTTCAAAGTAACGCTGGGCACATTTATATATGGTTGAGGTAGTAGTCCCTACATGCATTGAACTTGAAATGACCCTAAAAATAGATCAAAATTTTTTATGCATAGACATTAAAGAAGTCAAGCTACAAATTGAAGGCGCCAAAAAAGTACACGTGCTGGCTAATCGGCATTCAGAAGAATTTATAATGTGCCGTGTTAGTGGTGCTGAACCACTGAGTGCAGATGAATTGCAGGTGAAGTGGAGTTTTAGCAAGATTCGTTACCACCCGGCACCCCCATTGATAGAGGGAGCTAAGATTATCCTGAATGACAAAGTTGGTGAGGGGACCTTCTGTGTAATCTGCACCATACCTCTACTACGGTCCAGCACTCCCATAAATGAGACGTGCTTCATAGTGATACGTAAGTTTCTATCGTTATTAATTTCACGGTTAGCTGAAGACCTACACCTTCAATATAATTGTCAGTTTATTTATTCAGTTTCTAAATATATGGGCAGAAATGGTCAAAGGCAATTTTTACTTGTCACTTTCATTTCTTATATGAAGCTACTGAGGTATACTGACACTCTTGAGGTCAGAAAGTATGTAAACGAGTTCGAGCACTGGAAACCGCTATTATTTTTGGCCCTGTCCAGTTTTACGTATAACCTAGGCAGATGTAAGTGAAGCACTATTTGACATTTAGCATAAAAATAGCAAATTTTCTTAACTAATCTGGTCCACCTGTGTACTAGAACAACTGTTCATTTGTGCAATTCCGCCATTCAACTGATAATGCGTCTGCAGGACGCACAGGATGTCATACCTTCCACAAAGTGACCATGTTTGCAAGAATGATAATAAAAAGATGGAAGCTACCACAGCCACATTCATCAATGACGTTTGGATACACAGCCTAGGATAGCCTTAAAGATGTTTATACCATTTAATCTCCTTCCCCACTACAGATGAGTAGCTGAATAACCGGTTCACTAGCCGTCAGTCCTACTGACATATCGTGCTGGGTTTGGAATCTTATGGAGATATGACTACACATTCACGGATTCACAGCTAACTGCCTCTTTTAGAAGAAGCTTCAGTCACTACTACATTCTGTTCCATGGTCTGCGCAGGTGTTCTCTGCATGTGGCCACTGGCATAGTCATTGTTTCTTGTCTTCATCTACGTTAGCTGAATTAGAAAACGATATGTGCGCTGCCTACAGTGAATGAAATGATCTCGTCGATTTACAGTGTCCAGTACCGCTACAACAGTATCACTCTTAAGCACATCTGCCGAATTTAACTAGCGATTTACTCTGATTATCCTCGCAGAAAATAATAAATTAGAGTGGGAAAGGTTGCGCCGAATTTCCTTATAGCCTATTTCTTCCAGGTTGTTTTCAATTGTTTTGTGACGTGACTGCAGCCTTTCCACTGGAAAATCATTCATCCATCATGCTAGTACAAACATTTTTAAGATTTCCAACTCACACATGGAAGATCCTGCGAGAGAGACTATTGCACCTATCTGCAGCACGTACAGGAACTTAAGCTTTTATTTCACCAAATGGAAGACATGCTAAAGCGAATTGCTAAGTGCACCAAAAATGCCTACATTTCCCCTTCAACTCACAACATTCTTGCTTTGCCAAATTTTTTGGGAGTATATATTTACCAGATCGGAATAGCCAAACAGTACGCTCAAATAAGAACTGTCATTGCTCTTCACAGCT